TGCAGGCTGCCTGGCCCCACACCCAGGTCCATTTCCTGGAGCCCTGAGTCCTAGCCTCTCCCCAGTGGTGCAGGCTCTGTTAGAAGTGACGGAGGAAATGGCTATCCATGACCCACCTTGTAGCTAGGAGATTGAAACACAAAGAGGTGATGTGGCCAAGTCACAAACCTCAAGCCCCATTAGATGGTGGCACCATCTGCTCACCCCACCACCCTCAGGACGTGGGAAATGAGGCCGTACTCTGACATCTGACCGCACAGCTGAGGATTGCTCACCATCGGACGTCTGCAGGACCACAGTCTTGCTGTAGGGCCCGACGCCAGAGGAGTTGAAGGCTTTGACTCTGGCATTGTATGTGCTGTTAAAGTGAAGCCCGTCAATGGTGCACAGGGTCTCCTTGCCAACATACACTTCCTGAAAGAGCCAAGGATATTCATTTCACCTCAGAGCTTCCGGAAGTTTCCCTGAGGTGCACATCAACACCAGAAGTGCCCTTACATCTACAGAAGTACCAGATTAGAGGTGTTTCAACCCAGGCTAGTCATCCTGGTGGGGCCAGGCTTTGCCCCTTCCTCTCAAATTGCTGGCCCCTCTGTCTGGGATGCTATAAGAGGAATGGGGTCCTGGGAGGATGGGGTTGCAGGTGTGAAGCTAGCTAGGATGTTGCCTGAGACTTGCCTGCCTCCACTACCAGGCCTGCCAGAAGCCAAGGGGGACACCTAACGAACCCTCCTGCCCCTGAGAGCAGCATCTTCTGCTCCCTGACACCCTGACTCTGCTGGCCTCTGGTTCTCCAAGACAGCGAGCTTCCTTGACTGGACCTCGATTCTCATTTTATAGGGTCTTTACTTTATTCCCCATTCACTTCCAAGTTTCCGTTGTCCTACTCTGCCCCAGTATGTATTGGTTTGTTTGAAACAAGATGTTACTGTAGCCCAAGCTGGTCTCGAACTCTCAATCCTTCTGCCCCAGCCTCTCAGGGCTGGGATTCCAGGCATGAATCACCATACCTATTTAGCATTTATTTTCATGTGTCTTCATGAGCCAGCAGCTTTCCAGGTTCTGAAGGGCCCAAAAGAACACCTTCCACTGCAGAAACATGCTTCCAAGATAGGAGCCCACCCAGCCACCCTAGCATCAAAGCCAGAGAGCCAGACTAAGGCAGCCAAGAACTGTGTGGGAGGTATTTAAGATGTGGGCTAGCCTGTGGAAAGTGTACACATGTAGGCAGTGCACTCTCTGAGCTGTCAGCTCATACCTGTGGGGTTCCTCGAAATATTACCCAGACTTCTCTGATGGACACCTCTCCCTGAGGCTGTGGCCACAACTACTACCATAGGAAGTGCTCTCTCCACAAAGCCCTGGCTGGCAGACTTTCTTTGTCTTTGTAGTCATGGTGCTTGTCTTAGGGTAACGAAAGGGTTAAGAGCAGCCTCACAAGACAGCAGTCCTGTCTGGGCCTGCACAGTAGGGTTCTCACACAGCAGGCCTCACCTGCAACTGCCCTCCAGACCAGCAGGCCTCAGCAGGCCTCGCCGGAAACTGCCCCCTGAACAGCAGCATCTAGCTCACCCGGAACTGCCCCCCATCACCATCGTCCAGCTCCAGGATGTAGCCGTCAGCGGGGCTGTGGGTGAAGGGTGGTGTCCTCCAGGCCAGGGTGACACTGTTATTGCGGGTGCAGCACTTCTCCAGCTGCAGCAAGGGTACAGGTGGCACTGTGACAAGGATCATTCTGGTCAGCACACAGCACCCTCCTTCCGGCCCCAGTCCACCCCCCCACCCCCCACCCCCGAGCCATCCAAACCCTTGGGACCTGTGCCCTGAGGAGGGAAGTCCTATTTTCCATCTTGCCACCAACAGCCCTGGTGGCCGTGAAGCACACCCATATGACCTCAGCACAGTCCCTACTGGACATGCTGCAGAGTCACCTGCGTGGGCTCGGATGGCAGCTGGCAGGGCAGGAAGCCAAGTGAGAGCCAGCCCGCCGCTTACACTCGAGCTGGGAATGGAGGTACCGTGACTTCAATCTTAATGTCCTTCCGAGGCCTGTGTGTTAAAGGCTTGCTCCACAGGCTGGCACTACTGGGAGGTGGTAAAGCCTTTAAGAGGTGAGAAACGAGTGGGCACATGGGTGGTGTGCCCATGAGGGAGATGGTGGGACCCTAGCTCTTTTCTCTTTCTCCTTTCTGCTTCCTGGCCACAGGACAAGGGGCTGGACTCTACCATGGCATGCCCACCGCGGGCCCAAAGCCACAGGCCAACCACAGACTAAAACTTCCAAACCGTGCACCCAAATAAATCTTTTACAAGTTGATCATCTCGGGTGTGACAAAAAGATGAGTGACATGGATGAGGAACAAAATGCACAGGCAGTTGGAACTTTGATGGAAGGTTTGCAAGGTCAGGGGCCTTGACCATGGCACCAGACACAACTTCAGAGGGTTGGGTAGTCACCCCATGGAGCAAGGGACTGAAGCAGGCATGTTCTGAGCTCACTAAAGGCAAGCAGGAGAACCTGAATATGTCCCAGCTCTGCTCGGGCTCAAGAGGGTCTGGAAGGTGACACTGGCCGCTCTGACCTGGTTTGGAAGACACACACACACACACACAAGAGGGTCTGGAAGGTGACACTGGCCGCTCTGACCTGGTTTGGAAGGGAAAACGGGGAGACTTGTTCTATAAGCCTGCGAGTTTCATTTTGGCTCAGAATGAGCTTACTGTCTCCCCAGGCTTGGCTGACTACCCAGGAAGGGGAGTCTGTGTCAACAACAGGCACTTGGCTCAGCCCATCCCTCCCTCCAATTGGCTGAAGGAGACTCTTGGCACCCTCTCACTCCTTCATCTCCCACACCCTAAAATTCAGCATCTACACCCCCGAGTGTTTTGTCCCGGAGCCCCCACTTCGCAGGACTGTCTTCCCCAGTCACAGCTTCCTCCCCCGCTCCCCACCAGGCGCCTGCTCCTTGCCACTGTCTCATTTACACCTGGGACAGGTGGAATTTCCAAACCTTCCCCGGGTGCAAGTTGTAAGGGAGTGAGCCTCGGGATGGCCTGAGGTCAGTGACAGGGCTCCCCTAAAGCCACACTGTCTGTCTTCCCCTCCGGATGAACCTTGGGCATCTTGGGGACGGTGGCGCATAGGACAGGAGTGCAGTTCTGGCCATCTTCTGTGAGTTTGGGGACTAGCCAAGCTGTGCGAGTTTCACTGACTCTTGGCTGTGGGTTCCTGTTGGCTCCCGGAACCCAGTTCCCACCATCCTCCACTGGTCCCCCAGTTCCCACC